TATATATATATATATATATATATATATCTACAATAATATACATTAATATAAATAAATACCTTTGAATTGATGTCAACTTTTTCTTTACCAGTTTGGCACTAATTTGAGAATTATTTTTACAATTTAGAAGCATAATACATGGATTTAGGCTTTTATTTTCCATTTCATGCAGACGGTTCAACAACTAAAAAAATTCGTATCTATAGTTGGTAACAATAATTATTTTAATTACTTTAAACTTAATATTATATTTAAATCTTCTTACCAGTTCTAATGTTTCTATGACTATGTCTATATCACCTTGGCACAGAAAAATATTACTTTTTAGCCACAGAATTCTCAGTAATGTGTATAAATTTTCTTCATTTAGAAGATCCTGCCTAACACTTGCGAATATTATATGTCCTAATTCCTCTGCTGGCATTCCAGTACCAAGTTTATCTAATCTACAATTTTGATTTTATATTTATATATATATATATTAGGTGTTGGAATTAATTTGTAGCGTTTTACAAGTGATGGGAAGTACTTTCATTAATGTATTTTTTAATGCTCATGTGAAATAAATAACATTCTTTCATTAAAAAACGCTACGAATTAATTCCAACACCTAATATATTTTTATCAATTAAAGAAAAAATTATTGAAATCTTACGTTGGACTTGGCATTGTGTCTGGTTTATTATCTAGCCATCTGTCTGTATGAAGTTCACCAAATAATAATGTCGTTTCGGTATCTAATTTCAGAATTTTGTCATTGGCATCTTCATCAAATGGTGATAAATGTGGAATATGTTGTCTAAAAAAAAATTTTAATTTAAATTTTTTGCTTTTAATAAAATAAATTAAAAATTAAAATCAATCCCTATATACTTAGGCTGCTTTCGAAAACATCACCTGAGTACTCCACGTATCGTTTTATCCTTGTTGTTCACCCAATGTTAAACAAGGATAAGATGATACACAAAGGCACCCAGGTGGTTTCCGAACATCCTACCTCATAAAGACATATGCTTGTAGATAAATATCTGACATTCCTTTCGGCCATTCTCGATTCCATTTAGTACATAAAAATTCTGCAAATTTCGTGATAATTATCATTAAATTGCTTTTACTGCTATGTTGATTTATAAATGCGTCCACATCGGCAATTTCAGTTTCTGTTCCAAAGTATTTTTGTGGTTGACTGTACAAATATAAAGTCGCAGATTAATAATTAACATTAGTACAATACTATTATTATATCAAAGGTTTAATTATAGACAAACACCTTGTGTCAGGACTTGGCGATTTAGAACTTTCCGAGCATTTAAGAGTTTCCACATTTTTATTATTCTCCCGATTCGCAAATAATTGGTACATATCCATAGTGTCCATGGAATCATCTAGATTTTTAGTAGCATCATCTTTAGTCAATCTTACCGTATCGGGTCTACAAAAAAAGATTAAGGAAATTATATTTTATACTTTCAAACTAATTACATATAAGTCATTATTTAATATACATACAATAGAGTACTAGGAAATAATCTTCTAAGTGTTTCCTCTAATTGAACATCGTCCCTCTCTGCTTCCCTTCTGTTTGGTCCTCTTACTCTCGCGGATCGCCTCATGCTGCTGCAACTCCAGGCCCATTGTTGCAGAAAACATAATGCACTTCTGCGTCTTTTCTTCACCTTCTGTCCTTCTTCCTTCCCATCCCCAGTTTTCTCGGAATGAGTTTTATCGTCTACCTTACACATTGCATCGTTTGCTTTCTCAGTACCTTTCTCAGAAGCTTTATCACTTGATTTATCACTTTCCTTATCACTACATTTCTCATTAGGTACTCCATTATCTATGCAATAAATATCATCTGTGACTTTGTCGCTCTCTAACTTGTCGATATTTGCATCTGCTTCAGAATGCATTTGTTCCTCTAATTCTATGTTTTTTGTTTCAGTTTGTTCTTCACTTTGTAAACCATCTATGTCAGACATTCTCAACGGATCTTCCTCTTCGACTATTTGCACATCGCTTGAGCAAGATTTTTTGTCGTCTTCGATTTCAATTTCCATTACTGTGTCTGTATTAAAAACTTGATTGTCGTCCGATATCTCGCAATCTTCTGTTTCAATTTTAATAGGTTTGATATCAGTCTCTCCATTCGAAATCAAGTCATTTTGTTGATCTATTTCCATTATACTTACACTACTTTCTACAGTTTCTATTTCATTACTCGCTGAATTCTTATCATCAGGTTTTTGAATTGGTAATACTACTTTACTAACAAAATTCAAATTATTATCAGTAATATATCTATGCATGTCTAATAGACTTTCTCCGAGAGCCAACCATGTGCAGCTCGTTAAAGGCATTCTTAAAATCAATTCTGGTAAGGGTTTTGGTGTAAATTCTGCTTTGCAAACTTCCACCCACTTTCTAGAAACTTCCTTCGCTTCTGCTAATAATTTGTCAGCCAATACATGATCATATTCAGTATACAAAGGTGGATCCATCTGCCAGTCGCTATTATACAGCTTATAACATTCTTCCATACATGGAATGTCTTTAAATATCTTGTCACGAAAAGCCAGACCCTTCACGTAATTAGGATCCCTTTCCAATGCCACCGAAATATATAACAGACAATTCATATAATCAGGAACGGCATATAAGGCAGTTATGAGATTGTCCAAGCATGGCCAGTGATTAACGAGCAAGCTAATTCCAAGTTGGAAATCTTCATAGCTAATGTGCCGATCCTATGCCACAACGTTACATCGGAATCGTCCAAATTTGCAGCTTCCCAATAATTCTCCACAGCTTCCTCATAATTCTCACAAGCCGCTTGAATGGCGCCAATGTTCTTGAAGCAGGAATATTTCAAGGACAACATTGGTCTGGACCTGCCATCTGGTACTTCAGGCTTTTCCACTCCGTCCAACAGTTCAGTCTCTAGGAGATCTTTGAAGATGACCAGTGCTTCCTCACGTTTGTTCTCTTTTAACAATTCCAAGGCTTTGTTGTATTCTGTCAGTGCTATTTGTTCCTGAAAGAAGAAATTGTTTCACATTTTAACACACATATCAATATAATATTTAAAATTCCTCCAAATTTCAATTTAAATATCTGATACTTTTATTATCGCTAACTTTATGGTTCTCAGTATGTATTAAAGACTGAAAGATTTAAATTTGTTCAATCAAAACAAAAGGAACTAAAATTTCTTCGTCCTCATTAAATTTTTAATCTTCAATCTTAGGTTTCAATGTGTTTCCAATCTAAAACACTTTTATGATATTTTATGTTGATTTTGGACATGATGTTATCTAAATAAGAACATTTCCAGAACACCTCTTGGATAAAATGTAGTGTAGATAATTTAAAGTGTATTTCACTGAAGAATGATTATCTGTTAAACACAAAGTAATAGTAACATTACATTGTCTAATTTCTACTCAATAATGTAAATGTAATCTAACATGTTCTACGTTATAGTTACATTGTTCAGTAGGAAATTATAATATTAATATAATATTATTACTTTGTGTTACACACACACACACACACACACACACACAAGTTGTATTCCACCTGGTGTTGAATAGAGATCTCTGGGCAATCTTCAAACGTTAGTTACTCACGCTGGATAATCAATGCAAGGATGCATTGTAAATTAATGTTATCGATAATGATACGAAACAACAGAGAAGCGTCGAAAAATTCATATTTGTATGCTTCTTTTAGGTTATATGATAATGCAAATAGATACGTTGCCCTACCTGCGCCTCCTTCGTAATCGTGGGTAAATCCTCTTCCTCGCTTTCCTCACTTGACTCTTCGTTGAGTGCCGAAATTTTGATCATCCTGCCGAGTTCGCGTAGTATCAGCTACATACAAAACGTCAACAAAACAACCGGTTTTTTAACACGCCGCCATGCCATCGGACTGATCGAGCCAAGCGCCAAGCATTCGTGAAATGTCGTGGATGTAGACAGTAGACAGATGCAGATGAGATCGTTTAGTGATCGAAAGAGATAATCCAGGTAGCGATCAAGTGTACACAAAATCTGAGTCGTTTGCTCGATCACACCTTATTTTTTCTGCTTTTTTCTTGTAGTCTTACTGCACGTGTATCCAGTCCTCCATGAAACGGAAAGAAAATATGATTTAAATAAGAAAGATGAATTTAATTATATTTGATTCGTGTCGAGTGCAGGCGAGTGCAATACGAAACGAGCGCAATGAATCATCTGCAATTCCGATTTCGAAAGTCAGGTATCTCGCATGCGGCGAGAGGAACTGAGAGGAATGATTGAACTTTTAACTTGCCTTATCTCGTTTGTCGTCCCGCACGTTACAAATAAAATGTTATGTCGCACGCAGCGGTCGGGTTGCACCAACCGTATGCTCGGTATGCTGTTAATCACATCTTAGTTATTTCGCTTTTGTTTTCAGTACGGGCGCGTATTCGGTGATGTTTCGCGAAGAATGGCAATAATCAAAAAGATCTTGCATGAGAGGATGTTGTGTGTTGAGGTAAGCATGCATAATTACGCTATTTCATTACCAGTCTCGGCGAACATTCTATGTACGCTGGAGGACTGCATCAGATATTGCAGATTGCGTTTTATGAAATATGCTGATGGAAAGTTATTAGGAAACACTATGCCCAGCGCTAAGATGAGCGTAGCGACACATACAACGTGAGCGTTTGACTTCAGTACTGTAAGATATCAGATCGAAACTGTAGAAGTCAAACTTATAAAAAAAAAGTGTATAAAGAACTTGAATTCCCTTGTTAATACAGGAGTATACGTACAGAGAAACGATTAGTCAACGCAGCTAAAATGTGTCCTTATAGGGATAGCACAGATGTCTGTATGTCCTTTGAACATCCTAAGGACATCCCCAGGATAAGAAGGGAGTATCCTAAGAGTATCCTGGATAAAATGTATTATTAGGATAATTGTTGCTGTCAAAGTTCACTTTATTATCTACTATTTATAAAATGCTGCAACAAAACATATTTGCAGCTAAAGTAAAATAATGTTTAGCTAAATATATTTATTAAGTAATTCCTTTTTTACAACAGAAATTAATAATATTTGCAGCAAGATTAAGAATATTAGCTAACATATATTATTCTTTGCTACTATTTGATCATTCCAGCTATCAAATTTGAGTACTTTTACAAGAGTACTTTTATATTAGTTACTGCGTTTAAAAATATATTGATACATAGAAAACAATGTTGTATTAACAGCATTTGCCAACAATATCTATTCAAGTCTTGCTCATTCCTTTTTTTTAAACAAGAGAACGATGGTGTATTTGTTGCATTAATACTGTAAATTAATAAAATTATTTTCAATTAGATGCTGTTAATTTAACATTATTTCTCTTCTTTGTAGTATTAAAAGTCTATAATTCACATATATCTATATTATACATTTCAATGCTACATTTCAGTATATTTTTAAAACTGCCAATAATTACCAGATCTATATTGCAAGATGAAACGTGCTTATTTAATGAGACAAACAAGAAGGATTTTGTACACGTATAAGCAGTCCAATTCAATCTCCAGTCATTCGTTTCATCTCGCTAAATCAAACATATATCAGAGATCTGGATAAAAAATAAAAAAATTATAACAAAACATTATCAATTTATGTTGTGTATTGTAATAAAAATAGAAGACATACATAAAAAAGGCTTATTATATTATATACATATATTATATTAGCTTATAAAGGATCCATAATACATGAAATAAACTTTTAATGCAGATTCAGTAAACCACAGTTACATGTGATGTACCTGTTAATTGTAATTTCGTATTACAATGAACAATATAATTGTAATGTAACACACGTATTATATTACAATTAATCGTACTAAAAAGTAAATCGAAATCGGAAATAAACTGTGATAGATGCAATGAGCACGTCACCCAATGTCGTAAAAACGATATTATGCGTAGACAGCGCAGGCAACCGGCAGCGTCCCAGAAACAATTGCAAATGGAATGCTCAATTACACGGCTAAGATAGTGAGGAATGACTGCCCCACTTACTTAGCTACTCGTGTTAAGTACGCTTTTAATTTTAACTAATAAAGTTGGATGTCGGCACCAAATGTATTTTATCTTCAGTAGTTAACTTTTAGCAATAACAAAGTTTGAACCAGCAATTGATATTAAATTGAGCTTTGGCAGCAACAACGTTAGTCCCTATTAGAAGAGTACATTTTAGCTGTCACAGCTATATTTTAGTTGCGTTGGCTAATTTTTTTTCTGCGTGCACACGCAATGCTCCGAATGTATCACGAGCCAGTATCATTTCTCCAAAAATGCATAAGAGAAGGGATGACACATTGGAGATAAAGCAATGTCTAATGCGAGCGATGCGAATATTCGAAATAGAAGAACGGTTTTTCCTACGGTATCGTATTAAGAATCTGGAAGTCACTGCATCGCATATACATTTTCCACGCGTTAAGTTCCTCATTATCGAACCAATTAATATTCATGCCGGTCGGAGCGCGGTTCTTCGATTATCAGTGTAAGTGTGAAGTATGAACTGAATAAAGTCTTAGTCTCAATCTATATATGTTCAAGAACAATTATTAATTTGAATATCCTGAACACTATTCTTACGGATTCATATCTTACAGTACTATTGATATATGTATAGTATATTCAGAAATTATGCTCGACAAGATTGGCGTCAACTGTCTACATATTTGGTAGAATTTGCTGACATAGGGCAATCTCGATCAAACTCTGATTAACTCAATCGATAATCAATTAAACTAGCCGAATTGTTTAAAGAAAACTTTCTAATTATATATCCGTTATCCTTAATGTAATCTTTGTTCATATGTTAAATTAATAATTAAAATCAATAATTTTATCTAAATTAATAATTTTATCTTGTTGAAATTGCAAATATTATTTGATAAGCTGGATAAATGGAATTCAATTAAAGCCATTTATATTGTGATAATAAAACTGATAGTAAAAACCGAGCAGTCATCTTATAAATGAAAATATTCATTATTATAAATAAGGATAATTTTTTCTGTAAGTTTGCTATCGGGAGATTCAATATGTCATATATTCTGTTTTGTAAAATTTAATTTGATTGTTTTGGATCATACTTGATGACAAATTCGCATTAAAAATCCACGTTTTTTTTTGTAAATTATCATTAGCAACGCAAATTAAATTACGCATACAATTACGTTAGAAACATAAGATTTAAAATGTGTGGAACATATTATCTATTATAATATTTGATTAAATAATTACGAATACTTTCATCGTATACATTATGACTACAATGATGTCACAATTTCTTTTGAAAGTTACACAAATGATTGTCTCATTTCATTTTCTTACAATAAATTTTACATATGATAGGATTTCAATAAAAATAAAAACCTCGGTTCATATAAACACGTAGTTACATTATTACAAATCGCAGTAAATAATAAAAAATTTCTTTGTTGATAGTAGAGTTTAATGTAAAAATGGAAGAAATTATTATGTATAATAATAATAATAATGTTACTATTATTGAACTATTATTGAAAATGACGCAAATAACTAACAGTCTTTAATGAGAATGTTGTATACAATAAACATTGTTAAATTACAGAAGAGGTAAGATTGCACGTATAAAAAAACATGACAACGATATTTAACTTCATTATATGAATTCTGTAACTTCTGAAGTTATACAAGTGATAATAAATAGTGAGATGTAAAAACAATAATTTAAAATTTTAACATTCAACAAAGCATCCTTACCATTAACTGTATTCTAACAAGATGTGTAAAGTATATTACAATTCTTGGCACTTTAAATCACCTTATAAATAAATTCCCTTATTACATAATAGAAAACTCACGTTTAATAAATGTAAAAAATCAAGATAGATTTCAAAAATTATAAATGATAATTTTTTATACTGTTTCAGTTTCTGTATTAATAATATAAATTGACATAAATATGTACATCGCAGGAGACCAGTTGAGAGATGATACGCGAACCATAGATACAAAAAGTTTGCTTGGTTCTGCAATTAAAAAATACAATAATATTATAATAAAATCACCTTCTCCGATTTATAATAGATTTAACCAAGATTGGCGTATAGGTGAGCATCTGATCTAAAAATAAATAAAATATCGTTTTCTTCATATAATAAAATTTTTTAGAAGTAAGTTCAAAGTAACATAACTATTTCTCTTTTATAGAACCTACAATGAAACATTATTGGACTGCATCCTTTTTATTACCAGTCGGATCTATTCTTATTCTTGCAATGGTTGTTTTGCTAATGGTAATGACTACTATAAATTTATTGTAATCATGATCGTTTTTTATTAATGAAATTTGAAATTTTAAATGACAATTATAGGTATTGTTCAAACGATGTCCTCATATAATAGCCGCGATTGTTACTGCAATGCTCACTATCATTATCTTATTAACAATTATATTGTCACTTAATCGTGATCCAGTTTATATTTAATACATTTATATCAAATAATTGCATATACTGTTACATAAATCTTTCTTCCATATGTACATTGAACTGTTTATAATTAATAATATATACAAAAATTTTTGTAACAATTATACATATTGAATAAATAGACGTTACTTACTACTAGGACTGCTCATTCATCATTTTCATTTTAATCATGTCTTCTGAAACACGTTTTACCGTTTCCAGATACTTTTCCAAAGTTGCATCTAATCTTTCGTAGCTCTAAAATATAGATCTCAGCATATATCGAGTTGTGATGTTAATATATAAATATATATTTTTACAGATATATATTAAAAATATATATACTTTACCTCTGTATGAGCTGAGTCATTTTTCAAGTGCCGTAATTCACTTAATAATACTTCTATAGTATTAAGCGGTAACCAAACAGGTGGCGCGGTAGCTACTAATGGTGTTTCAAGACCAAAATGTTCTTTACCGCTACCTAATACCGCGTTAATGTAATCTACCGCTAAGTCGCTGGCTTCCACTAGTCGACCAGTATTTAGCATAAGACGGAGAAGCTCTGACGCATTTCGCTTCTACAATATTTTGATGTAAATAGAATATTTTATCAACATAGAAAATTATGACTGTGTACAACCAGCGTGCGCACAACATGCATATGAGAGAAATCATCACGCTTGGCCACGAGCAATAGGACTGAGAAGGAGGAGGAAAAGGAAGAGGAGGAGAGGAGGAGGAGGAGAAATATTAATAAATACTATAAATTTGATCAACTACTTACTTTATAAGATATTAATAACCATTGTGGTAAAAAAGCTCCATCTTGCAGTAATTTTTGTGCAACGGCCTTATGTAGTTCGCAGTTATCACTCTTCTCGTGCTTCAATGTGAAGTACTCTAACAATCTCCAAGCAGTATTTGTAATGGTTGTATTAGATATTCCGATATCTAAAGAATAATTATTGTTATATATATAGAGCTTTTGGAAAAAATATCATTCTGTAATAGTTTGCAAAATTATAATACAATTATGCATACCGAATATATCATTTTGTATTAGCCAGTCCCAGGCGTTTGGATCCTCGCGTTGACTCAATTTGATGCATTGAGAGGTCAAACTTTTGAGTACAGAAGCTTTACTAATTTTAAATACATCACATAAATGTAACGCTGTTGCGTACAAGCCAATGCTACATAAAGTGACGATAAGTTCGGAAAGTTCTGAAATATATGAACATATATATAATAAAATTTCGGTCGATTTCTTCATAAAAACAAATTACACAGTTAAGAGACATTTACCAGTATGTGCAACTATATGCATTTCCGAATTTACTTTCGATATTTTTAATCTTGCATCTACTATATAATATTCCTTTTTGATATCATCCAGTTCGAGTACTTCGACTTGTTTTTTTATCTTATAATGCAAAACCTCTTTTCCATCAATATCTCTTTTCTTTTGTGGATTCGACGAGTTCATTTCGCTAGAGATACTCTGATCAATTACAGGCCTTACGATCCACCTGTACTTTTCACTTACATGATGTAAAGCATTAATACACGCTAATAGACATTGTGCTTGCTTCGCTATAATCGGTGCAGAGTGAGGCTCTTGACTCAAACGCATAGCTTGTTCGTACATTATGGATGCGGCTGTAAAAATATAATAAAAGTTTATAGCTGATAATATGTGTACATGTCTGCTACAGAAAAAGAAGCTTACCTTTCCGCATGTTTTGCTTATTGACATGAAAACTATATAGAAAATTATAATAATTGTTTTCCATAAGATCAACGCTTCTGGCTCTGCCTTCTACTATTCTTTCGAGATCCTCGTACATATCGATATAAGGAAAAGAAATTAAATCTATTAACAATTTTTTTTCGAACAACGTAACGACCAATTGCCGTAAGCAGTCCACTCTGCGTATGGGATCTGGATTCGCGTTCAAGCAATGATAAGCTTCCGCGTGATGACCCAGACTTAAATGTTGTGCGAATATTATGGAATGAAGTGTCGGCAAATTCGGATCATCTGCGTCGGCGTTTGTTATGGCCGTTTCAGCGATCTCTATGATACAGTCGGATGCATTGTGCTCGTCAAATAATTTGATAACTTTCAGATAATAATAAACCAAATC